TTCTTTTAAGTTGAAGAATGGCACAAAATATATAAAACAACTTTTCAAAGCACCATTCCATCTATCTTTAATAAATGAAAAGGCATCTTAAACTCTTGAGAAGTCCTTGTAAAAAGTGTTTAGTTTTGTAGAGAACTGGTTGTCTACAGTTCTCAGCCTAACCACTGAATTTACCAAAAAAGTAAAGCAGATGTGGTTATAAAAATACTGGTCCAAATGGAAAAGATTTCAGTGGGTAGGCTTCTGGTTGGCTGATTTCTGGATAAAGAGACATTTGTCCTCCATTGACACAGGAGGGTTGATAAGGCCCAACTGGGCTAGTTGTCCGGAAAGTGCTTCAGTAGGAATATTCAGGCCTCAGGGCTGGAGGAAGGAGGAGTTGGTGAGTAGGGAAAGAGGAGAAGGAATGGGCTGGCTTCCTTTCACCCAGAGTTTCTGCAAAGAATGAGGAATAAAAGGACAACATTTAGGACAATGTAGGGGGCAAGGTGGGCAGAGGCATAGCCAGGAGAAGCTCCTGAGAAGAGACTGAGCCAATCCTATACTGCAGCTTTGCCAAAGTCCGATAAGGCTGCAGCGACACTTCCTCTCAGCCGTCCCTCCATTTATTTCTCTCTCCTAGTAGGTACTGGCCACTCACCTATCTCATCCTTTTTTTTTTATTTTCTAGCTACTGGATGAAGTCAATCACTCATCCTCTTCCAGAAATACTCTTTTTTCACTATTCTTGGACTTGTAGACTTGAGTATTTTCTAGAGTTTTACTTGAGTATTTTCTAGAGTTTTACTTCCATGTCAAAGGTGATGGAAAGATTGGTACTATCAGAGGCTGGGTAGAGAACAACCAACAGATGGGTTTGTGAGTGCAGAAAGTCAGCAGTCTGTGCCCAAGTGCAGGAAGACACACCAGGGCAATGTGTTTTCTTACTGGTGGAAGCGAGCTTCCTGAGTCCAGGGATCACACTGTCTTGCTCATTGCTGTCTCTCTCAGTGCGGAGACAGTGTAGGGCACATAGTAGATGTTCAATGAATACTCATGTCATGTACCATGGTGTCAGAAACCAGCCAATAGTTTGTCTAAAACATCTTTGGGTTGAGCAGTGAAACTAAGTTAGGTGGGCAGACTCTAATAAAAAGCATATTTCCCTAAAGTTAAAAAACGTTGGGATTCCAACATGATACACTTACATCCTAACTTGAAATACTTCACCAAGAACTGGAGCCTCCACTGGGGAAGATCCTTGGACCTACAGAGGCTCGTGTGCCCCCTCCTGCCCCTCTCCCCAGATGAAAGGGAGCCCATCTGGCACATGCTGTTAACCAGATGTGCTGCAGGAACCAGCATAAAGGTCTCCCTGTGCTCACAATTCCTGTCTAGGAAGTCAGAGAACTTTTGGGAAATGCAGAGAAATGGCCAAATTGGTTTGCCATGGAATGTATAAACCCAACTGACCCCATGATTGGATTTCATCCTCTGACCACAAGAGTGCCAGGCAAGGAAAATGACTGAAGTTTTCCCCATCTAAAGCCTATGAAGACAAACTGATTGACTTTAAACTTTTAGGTTTTAATTTGTCCTCTACCCAGAGGGCCCCTAGGGATGGACAGAACCATCCTTCTCCCCTGAATACTGGTTTAACTTTTTTCTCTTCGGTTTCTTTGAAGATGGTATATCTGATGGAATTTTTAAAATGTAATACATACTATTTTTCTAATTATAAAAGAAGTACATATTTATTGTAAAAAGTTCTGGAAGTCCCAAAAATATTTTTTGAATAACATTTATTTTATCTTTTTAAAAAGATTTTATTTATTTATTCATGAGAGACAGAGAGGGAGAGAGGCAGAGACATAGGCAGAGGGAGAAGCAGGCTCCCTACTTGATCCCAGCACCTTGGGGTCACACCCTGAGCCAGAGGCAAATGCTCAACCACTAAGCCACCCAGGAGTCCCTTAAAATAACATTTAAAAATCAACTGCAATCCCTCCACCCGAGAGAAAATCTCACAATTATAAAATTGACATTTTGGTATCTTTCTTATTGGATTTTTTATATGAATATGTGTGGGTACAATGTATATATATTTTTAAATCAGGACCAATATTTTTCTAGTGTAAATTACCCTGTTATAAATAAATATTCTGGAACATAAACTTTCTCTACACTTTTGTCTACATTTCCCCAGACCTGATTTCTAAAAAATAGGATTTAGTGAATCAGACATATTTGTAAGGCTCCCAATGCTTGCATATTGTTAAATTGTCCTATGGGATAGTTGTAACCAATTTTTGCTTTATCTGGTGGTATGATTTTATTTTTTGGAGGAAGTTTTCTTCTTTCTCTCAGAGTGTTCTATGTGTTGAGATTCTAGGGCAGGGTAAGGCTATTTATTGAGTAATATAATCCATCTGTGAAGCTGATGGCATCCCACATGGACTTTTCTCCACTACAGATGAAGAAGTGAGTTAGACCATCTCAGAAATGTTTTCCACCCATGAGTCAAAGTCTGTGTATTAAGGAGTCCTCAGCCTCCAAACCCCTCTCATTTAGGTACCAAGGGATTTTTGGCAGGGGGCTATTAACGTGTATTCTGTTTATTAAAAGCACCAGTATTTACAGCAGTAGTTATACCTGTCAAGAGAAAAGACTTGAAGTCTGGTGCTTGGAGAAGGCAAAGATACTCCCCATGGAAGATCACCTAGTAACAGCATTTGGGTGTGTCCAGATTGGGTGATGAATACAGATTTCTCAATGGGGTAGCTATTTAATGACTTTTGGGCTACCCTAACTTCTGATTCTCTTTCTATGTTTGAAAATTTCCACACCAAATGAGTTTTGGAACATGAATTTTCTTTACCTGAAAGTCAGTGTTCCCAGCATCCCTTTCAGTAGGACACAGGCATGTGATCTAAGCTGGGGTAAGGAGATACCCACCCCAGATTCAGAATTGGGAGCTGTTGACTCAAGATAAAGAGAGCATTCTTTCTGCAGTAGCAACAGTGGCGGCAAGGACTGGTTTCTAAATGGCTGCAGTGGTGGCGGCAGCTCCCAGGGTCCAGGGCCAGTGGTATTGGGGAACAGTTCTGTGGTGTGGATTTGGCTGCAGATTTTAGAGCATTTGTTCTAAGCCTGTTCCTGCCCTGTTTTCTAAGCCTGTCCCCTAATCTTCCCAGTGATTCTGTGAGCATCTTGATACCCCTTGCATAAATTTTTTTTCTGCTTAAATCAATCCATTGCTGTAACCAAGAGCCTTGACTGATATATAACTAGCCTCTTTAGATTCAGGGTATTTATCTATAATATGGGACTATTAGTGCCATTTCAGAGCACTGAGATGAGGACTAATGAAAGAGCACATGCAGGCACCTAACCCGACAGCATGGCACATAGTAGAAGCTCAAAATACAGTGGCTTTTCACCCTCATTTTCAATTTTGGGAATCCCAGCTTACCATGCCTATAAAGATCAGAATGTATTGGGGAGAAGAAAAAAATCAAGTTGTTTTAATCTCAACTGTAAATATCACTATCATCACCTCAGGTGTAGCACTCCTTTCCCTAGTGCTCTACTGCATTCCTGGCATTGTGCTTGGTAACCCACACACCCTGCCTCTAATCCTCACAACGCTGCAAATCCTCACAACACTCCCATTTTACAAATGAAGAATCTGACACTCCAAATGGCTAACAAACTGCCAAACTTATTCCAAGGAATTTAAGCCCAATGGAGGAGATACTGGAGGAATTGTGCAAAAGTTTAGAGAATTCTCATAAAGACAGAAGAACTTGAAATATAGCCACATGTAGACATCCATACATAACCAATTCAACCATTTTGACCATATCAAAACTATTAAATGGTTTGATTGAGGTTTCAGAGTTGAAACCCTGACCAAGACTCTTGTGAGTTTAGTCAAGAGGCCAAATTAACTATGCCTTCATTTAGACCCGAGAGTCTCAATGGGTGCAGGGTGGTGTTTACCAGAAGGACCCTGAAGATCCTTTCAAGCCACACATACCTGCCCTCACTACCACTCCAAAGAAAAGGAACTGTGTGGCAGCAGCTACACAAGAATATCCTGAGACCAGTCTTAGATGGCTTGCAATTTAGGGAAACACAAGAAAAATTTTTGTGGTTAAGATTCATGGTTCAGCTTCACTGTCTCTAGGTGCAAGGAGGAAAAAAAATTCTCAAAGGTCAAAAATAAAAATACTAGTTTCATACAGTGCAGCCGGAGTGACATTGCAATGACAGGAAAATGTAAACTATGTGTGAGAGGGAGAGTCAGACATGCACACAGACAAGCTCTCCTCAGAGCGGGAACTCCAGAGCTCCAGGCGTCTGGAAAGAGACGCCAACCCACCCAGCAAAGGCCTTGTGCGGCTTGCAGGTCTTAAAAGCCAGGCTATACTTTGGCTTCTGAAATGAAAAGTCATACCAAAAGAGATGCCTGATTTTTATTAACTATCTTAAAAGGAGTCTTTCACTAATTCTGGGGAAGATATTTTGCTTGAGTGTTTTCCCACTTCGGCAAATATAATCCAGAGGGGTTGGGTGGAAGGGGTTTCGCCCTGGGCAAATGGTTGAGCACAAAAACCCTGCTGACTCCAGTAACAATTTAAAGAAGAGGGAAGAGATTTCCTTGAATCAATATGGTGGAGCCAAAATAAATGGCTACTCCAGTTCTCTTGAGAAAACATTATTGCATTATTTCACAAAGAGATCTCTGATGCAAGGGACCAGACAGACTAGGAGACGTTGGGTCCGGATTCAAAGAGACTGGGCTAGCCTCGAGCCTCTGAAGCCATTTGCTCAGCCACCATGTGGCAGGAACAGGGGAAGGGGTGGAAGTGGCTTTGGACAGGAGCCACCCTTCACAGCCTGTGAACAGATCTGGGTTTTGACAGATTAAAGATGATTCCTGCAGATAGGGCAGGAGTGGGTGGTGCCAGGGCATTCACCCAAAGCTCTCCGTCAACAGTGGCAAAGCAAAAACCCACATGGACAATCCTGGATCCGCAGTGAAGATTTTGGAAGGAAATCTTAGCAAAAAGCCAGAGCAAGAGACGGGAGCAATAAATCAGGCCGGGAGAAAGTCTGAGTCGAAGGACGCTGTTGCCTCGTCTATCACTCCTCGGCCAGCGGAAGCACACGTGGGTCCCAGCCGGCATTGACTCTAGCACCCTGCCAGTTTATTCTGGCTCCGAGAAAATGAGAACATCTTGGCTAAACATGTTGGGGGCAGTGAGTGATTTTCAGTAAAATAATTTTTCCCCAAAGGGGAACTGAAAGCCTGGGGCCTCTTACATCAGGCAACAGCTCTAACCATAGCATGGTGGCCCAGTGCTAAGGTTTACTCGGACAGTTCTCATCATTCCAGAAAGCTGATGGACAAGAGCAAAGCAAGGAAAAGAACCAGTCCCCATCTCTCAGAACCAGTTCCTTGAGTACCACACTGGGATCCCTGGGTGGCGCAGCGGTTTGGCGCCTGCCTTTGGCCCAGGGCGCGATCCTGGAGACCCGGGATCGAATCCCACGTCGGGCTCCCGGTGCATGGAGCCTGCTTCTCCCTCTGCCTGTGTCTCTGCCTCTCTCTCTCTCTCTCACTGTGTGCCTATCATAAATAAATAAAAATTAAAAAAAAATAAAAATAAAAAAAAGAACCACTTCAGAAAAGCAGTTTTCCAGGAAGCATGGAAATTCATGGGGAAAATGTTCCATTCTTTGAAATACCTAAGTGAATGGCCCAAGAAAAGCAGGGAACAATTAACTTGCTAATTGTGTGTTGGTAAAAATAGATGGGAAGGAAGGAAGGGAGGGAGGGAGGGAGGAAGGGAGGGAGGGAGAGATCTGCCTTGTATTGTTCAGACTCTACCTCTTGTAATCTGCCTCTCAGCCTGAGGTCAAAGGGACCTTTATGAACCCAGTTCCCCTGTGACCAGGTCTTTCCCTTGTCCAGAATTTGCACTGGGCCTCCACACTCTAAGGGAGAAGTCCTACCTCTCTTAAACAAAAGCCTATATATTCATTTTTTTCCCCAAAGCCTATATAATAGTGTCTCCCTCGCACTCAAGGCTGGGGAACTTCCTCCAGTGGCTCTCCAGCAGGGTGGCACCGATCGACCCCAGTCCTGTCTCACCCAGGGCCAGGGCCCGTTAGGAATGTTCGAAAGGCTCCGGTTGGGAGCGCGGCCGGCGAGCTGGGCCTGGGGCCTGGCGGGCAGGGCGAGAGGCGCGGAGGCCCGGGGGCGCCGGGAGCGGCGCCTGGGCGGGCGGGCGGGCCCCGCGGTCGCAGGGAGTGCGCGGGCGCAGCCTCCCGCGGGAGAGGCCAGGGCAGGCCCGACGGCCTCCTTTAAAATGAACCCCTGCCTCCGTTTTCGGGCGGGATGGCGGCGCTGGCTCCTTTGGGGTCGCCTAGGCGGCCCGTGGGCCCGGCGCGTGGCCGGCGGCTCCTGCCCGGCCGCCCCTCGGCGGCCCGCGGCGCCTGGGCTCGGGACCGCGGGTGCCCGGCTGGCCCCGGCCGGTGCCCTGGGCCCCTCCTCGCGGGGCTCCGACGCCCCTTCTGGGTTTTTTTTTTTTTTCTTTTTTCAGTACAACCTAGGGACGCGAGTAGTTTGAAGCGGCTCATCTCATTGCAGAGAGATGATGATTCTGATGATGATGATTCTGATCAAATGACTTGCCAGAATTTACAGATGGGATCAAGGCCAGAAGTAGACACAGAACTACCTGGTTCCCAGCCCTGTACTTAGAATTCTAGACCACACTGCCTTTTCTACAGAAAAATCTGCTGATATTGAAACTTGTGATGAAGAGTGTGACTCACCTGAGTCAGTCAACCAACAAGCTGGAGAGGAGAGTCCTATAGGAGTTCACACTGCTGACGATGTTCCAATGGCTGCAGAAGTGCATGCAATTTCTGAAGATTATGATCTAGAGACCGAAAACAATTCCTCGGAGAGTCTCCAAGACCAAACTGATGAAGAGCCACCAGCTAAACTTTGCAAAATTCTAGATAAGAGCCAGGCTTTGAATGTGACTGCCCAACAGAGATGGCCTTTACTGGCAGCTAATAGCAGTGGCCTCTGTGAGTGTGAACTTTGTGACTTCAACAGCAAATATTTTTCTGATTTAAAGCAGCATATGATCCTGAAGCATAAGCGTACTGATTCAAACGTGTGTCGAGTATGCAAGGAGAGTGTTTCTACTAACATGCTTTTGATCGAACATGCCAAACTGCATGAAGAGGATCCCTACATTTGTAAATACTGTGATTATAAAACGGTAATTTTTGAGAACCTCAGCCAGCACATTGCAGACACCCATTTCAGTGACCACCTCTACCGGTGTGAGCAGTGCGATGTACAGTTCGCATCAAGCAGTGAACTCTACCTACGTTTCCAGGAGCACAGCTGTGACGAACAGTACTTGTGTCAGTTTTGTGAACATGAAACGAATGATCCGGAAGACTTGCATAGCCATGTGGTAAATGAACATGCATGTAAATTAATTGAATTAAGTGATAAGTATAACAATGGAGCACATGGACAGTACAGCCCGTTAAGCAAAATTACCTTTGACAAATGTAAGAACTTCTTTGTGTGTCAAGTATGTGGTTTTCGGAGTAGACTTCATACAAATGTTAACAGGCATGTTGCTATTGAACATACTAAAATTTTTCCTCATGTTTGTGATGACTGTGGGAAAGGCTTTTCAAGTCTGCTAGAATATTGCAAACATTTAAATTCACATTTATCTGAAGGGATTTATTTATGTCAATACTGTGAATATTCAACAGGACAAACTGAAGATCTTAAAATTCATCTGGATTTCAAGCATTCAGCTGACTTACCTCATAAAAGTAGTGACTGCTTGATGAGGTTTGGAAATGAGAGGGAATTAATAAGTCACCTTCCAGTCCATGAGACAACTTGATTATTTTGTTTAACTGCCACAATGTTAATGTAAAATAATAAAATTTTTTGGATATGTTAAAAAAAAAAG